GCTGAAGAGGCATAGGTTGCACCATGCGCGGTGTCAGGTACTTTGCTATTTATCGAATACCTAAGCATGAATTTACTAGTTTTGTGTGCCAATTAACCCGTCGTATGCCTTAAGTTCAATTGTTTYTAGTTGAATTACCTTGTCACAATTTAAAGATTATCATTGGTGATAAATATACTTTGATTACTAGACATATTATTGACGTGTTACCAAACAATGGTTGAAAATTTGAGATTCAATTGTTAGTATCGACATTAGAGGATTAAGCTATAATAAGTGCGAATTAACCATGCATGTAAGACTAAAATAAATAGATGATTAGAATAAGATTGAGTGACCAAAAGATTTTCTCGTGATGGAAGAACTATTAAATAAAGATAAAAATAAGTATGACAAAATTAAGTAGAAATTCCGAGGACGGAATTTTCTTTCAAGAGGGGGAGAGTTGTAAAACCCAAAATTTTAAATATATATATATTGTACGAGTCTTTAAATATATAATTTTTATTTATTAAATTTATTTGAGGTGTTAAAATATTTATGTGGTTAGTTAAAGAAATAATTATCGAAATCTTAAAATAAGTTAAAAATCGGACCAAAAGTGAAAGAAAAAGTCGGGACATGGGTGAAAGTTGTAAATTCGCGAGAGTTAAGGGGTTGGCTCAGATGTAAGCAGGTCCAAATCAGAAAGACTTGTTTTGTAAATATGCATCAGACCTGCAAATTCAGAAGCACGAAAACAACCTCTGTTGGGTCAGATGTAAGCATGTCCAAATCAGAAGGACCTCTTTTGTAAATATGCATCGGACCTGCAAATGCAGAAGAACCTGTTTTGTAAATATGCATCAAATTTGCAAATTCAGAGATACGAAATCGACCTCTCCTTTGAAGCTCCCTATTGGTCTGATTATTCAACTATTACGATAAAAATCTCAATATACATATAGGCTACACTTTGCTCTAGAGTTTTCATCCAAACTTTCGTTGAGAATCGGGAGAGAAATCGGAGCTCGAAAGTCCCCATCCGAAATCTTCGTTTTTCGTCGATTAGAGGTAAAATACTCAATTAACATTCATGTTCTTTTATGGTTGGCTTCATTTTTAGGTCATCTATAGAACCTTAGTAGCCTTATGTCTCAGATTTTAGTTTTTGAATGTCGAATTATATTCCAAGTCTGGTTAATGAAACCAGAGGCTCTGGTCGTGAAGACCAGAAGCTCTGGAAGAGAGACTAGAGGGGCTCTGATCCTGTGTTGAAATATATTCCAAGTCTGGTTGGTTCAACCAGAGAGGCTCTGGTCAATACAACCAGAGGGGCTCTAGTCAATACAACCAGAGGGGCTCTGGTCCTAAAGGACAGTTTCTCCCTTGAGAAGGGGAAAACTTGGCCTATGGCCATTGGTATTGGTTAAGAGTGTTTTGAACCAGAATGATTGTTTTCATGAGGAATCAGAGAGGCTCTGATCTTAGATTTTGAAATATAGGATTCTGGTATTTGATTTGGAGGATGAGCAAGTTTTTTTACTATATATGTTAAATTGGATTAAATGATTTGTGTCTTTTTATAAGAGCTTCTATGTCAAAATCTTGCTTTTGAAGTTTTAAGAAAAGGAGTTTTATACTTAGAATCTTTTTATGAAAAACAGACCAGAGAGGCTCTGGTTGACTTTCACGTTGAACCAGATAGGCTCTGGTTGGTCATGTCTTTGGAACCAGAAGCTCTGGTTAGTAGAACCAGAAGCTCTGGTTAGTAGAACCAGAGGCTCTGGTCGAACATGAACTTTTTATAATTGCTCGTTTTATGAAAAAGGCTATCTTATTGGTTGAAGGTTTATCTAAAGACAATTTTTGAGAAATTATATGAGTCAGAGGTGCTGGTTAGTACAACCAGAGGCTCTGGTCATGAAGACCAGAAGCTCTGGAAGAGAGACCAGAGGGGCTCTGGTCCTTTGTTGAAAAATATTCTAATTATGATTTGGAACCAGAGGCTCTGGTCATGAAGACCAGAAGCTCTGGAAGAGAGACCAGAGGGGCTCTGGTCCTTGATGTTGAATTATTTTTTAAGTAGGGGTTGGTTGTCTGGTCGTGAAGCCAGAAGCTCTGGAAGAGAGACCAGAGGGGCTCTGGTCCTGGATGTCGAAATATATTCTAAGTATGGGTTGGTTCAACCAGAGGCTCTGGTCATGAAACCAGAAGCTCTGGAAGAGAGACCAGAGGGGTTCTGGTCCTGGATGAATTATTTTCTAAGTATGGTTTACAACCAGAGGGGCTCTGGTCAATACAACTAGAGGGGTTCTGGTCAATACAATCAGAGGGGCTCTGGTCCATACAACCAGAGGGGCTATGGTCCTAAAAGCGTTTGTGATATAGTTTTAAGACATATAGCTAGACGATACACCTTATGTCGGAACTCACGTTCCTATAATTTTAGTTGATGTGAGGGACGTTCTTAAGTATAGTTGACCAAGGTTGACCCTAGCCGACGTAGTTGACCATAAGTTGACTTTTATGTTAGCCTTTGGGAGAAATTAATCATTTATATGCTATTTGSTATTATAAATTGTAGGTTACCAGTCAGCAACGTTAGTTAAGCAATCTTCGTTATCAGGTGAGTACATTATGCGATTTTTATGGGATATATACATGATTATTACAAAARTATTTTATCCWTGATATATGCATGATATGTTTATATGCATATGATGATAACTTGATTATATTGATGTGCATGATATGAAAGGTGATGTTGATGAGAAAGATTATGATGACTTGTTATTATCAATATGATATTCAAGTATGTGTATAATGTGAAAAATGACGATGATGCATATGKRATTTATGTTGTCACTTGCATGAGATGTRWGTYGCATGTCACGATGAGATTTGCATTAATGAGTGAGTATTGCAAATAAATGATATACAACTAGTATGATTCGGCAAGATTCGTCCACCGTACGGGGTGAGTTGGACATGAAAGGAGGGCTTGCAATTCCGAGGTCTTGGAGTCCTTGTCCATAGAATACGCCACATACGCAAAGAAAAGTGACGAGCCGAGGCTTCACTTGCAAGATAATAATTAAAATACACTAAAACATTGTTTTTATGTGCATGTCATGATGAGATTTGCATTCATGAGTGAGTATTGCAAATAAATGATATGCAACTAGTATGATTCGGCAAGATTCGTCCACCGTACGGGGTGGGTTGGACATGAAAGGAGGGCTTGCAATTCCGAGGTCTTGGAGTCCTTGTCCATAGAATACACCACATACGCAAAGAAAAGTGACGAGCCGAGGCCTCACTTGCAAGATAACAATTAAAATACACTAAAACACTGTTTTGTGTGTGCATGTGATCATGAAACCATATTGTATTCACTAAGCTTTTTGCTTATACTATACATGTATATATCTCARGTGTCATTTGTCAGTAGACGAGTGAATGAAGAAAGACGGGACTATGTTTTTGAAYMATGCTWGMTTAGATATTTTAATTAGCATTGATTATGTTAAAGTATTTTATGCTTCCACAATTATGTAAAGAATTATGTTAAACATATTATTTGTGTTTGAAAATGTAAGTTCGTATTTTTGTTCATGACATAAGTTATTAAGAATGACGTCACGACACTCGAATGAAAGAAAAGAAAAAAAAATCGGGGCGTGACATTCACAGACAACAAGAATGGACTCTTGTTTACCTTTTTTTTTCTTTGAATCGACCATATAAGCTAGAAAATCTTGACACCCTTTTTGTACACATTTTATGGCTTTCATGATATATATCAGGCTGTTATTATGATCCTGCAGATCACCATAAATCACAATCGGTCCTTTCCCCGGTAAATCAATATTGATTAGCTTTTTGTTATACACAATACTAGCCTGATTTTCTGCTAACCAATCCATGCCCACCACAACATCAAACTCTCTCATCGGTAATGGGAACAGACGAATTGGCAATCCATAGTCCTCAATTTCAATTTGACAATTATCAAAAACACAGGTAATAGATATTTGACTATTATTAGCAGTATCATGTACTAAATTATAATCAAGAGGCACAAAATTCACGTATAAATACCTCACAAATAATGGCGATATAAATGAATAACTAGCACCATAATCAAATAGAACCTTAGCATATACGAAGTTGATAAGATATGTACATGTTACCACATCAGGGGTTTCCTCTGCCTCTTTTCTTGTCATCTGAAAATATCGGCTGCTCGTCCTTTCCGATTCACATATTCGGATATTGACTCCTCCACTCGTACTCGGAGTATTCCCACCTAAAGTCAACCTTGGAACTTTAAATGATAATAATCAGGTCTAATATGGTTAGGGGAATTATAATGAAAACATCTTTGAGGAATTCGACAATTTCTGGATAAGTGCCCCGACTCCCTACATCTGTAACATTTCCTCTTTTCAAAATTACAGTCACCCTGATGAACATGGTGACATCTATGGCACGGTCTTTCACCAAATGTTTTGGTATGAAGATTTTCTATTTTTACAAATTTTGGTTTTCTGTATTTAGTAGAAGACCCTTCCCATTTCCTCTTTTCAACCACTTTCTCCTCTCCCTGCCTGTTCTTGTTCCTTTCAGTTGTCTCTGCAGCATCTACGGCTAGTGGAAATGTAGAGGGATTCATGGCAATTACGAACTCTCGTATGGAAGGCTTTAACCCCCAAATGTACCTCTCGACTTTACGAGATTCTGATGAAATATAATGTTCTGCAAATCAGGAGTGTTCGATAAATTTCTTAGTATATTCCCTTACCGTCTGATTACCTTGTTCTAACTTTAAGAATTGTTCTTCCAGTTGTCTGACGGCTACTTTTGGACAGAACTTCTCCCTGAATCAGGCAACAAATTCCATCCAGGACATTGTCTGCAAAATGTTGGGTCTTGCTAGTGATTCAACGTCCCATCAGTACTGTGCATTTGACTTTAGCATTGATACAACAAATCTGACTCTATCTTCATATGAACATTTATTAGTATTAAATACATATTCTATCTCCATTAATCAACACATTGCCTTTACAAGGTCTCTTTTTCCAGAGAATGTAGGTTTACAGGTTAAAAACATTTTGATGTCGCCCCCTCTGGTGTTTGTAGATTGGATCTATGGATTTATTTCGACCCTTTCTGTTTCTACCCTGGTTGGTAGTCCCATAAAAGACGTTAGTGTATTCCTTGTCTTACTCATTTCTTCTGCTAACAGGCCCGGAATACCATACTCAGGACGTTGTATTGGTTCTTGATTCACATTTTTCTGAATTGATTCACCTTTGTCTGGATGAACTTCAGGTTGACTGATTCTTCCTCTCCCATGACCCCTTCCATGGCCTCTACCCCGACCTCTCCCTCTGCCTTTGCTCGCTAGTAGACTTGTAGGAATATTTTCTGGTGAACTCTCCCTTTCATTCGGGCTAATAAGGGTGATCCTTTCAGATCTTCGTGAATGACTTGCCATATATAAAATTTCAATATTTAATATTCACTTAATCACTTTCCCAAATGTAATAAGGTATCCAAGTACTGTAAACTCATAATTACATTGGCCAATTGTAATATGAATTTACTTTACATATCTGTTTTTAACCGATCATATTTATTCCAAAGTTTCTACATACGTCAAGGACCCTTAATATGCAAATAATACAGTTTAAGTCTAGGCATCATGCTGAATACCTAAATCCCTTAAACTCAGGCTTTGATACCAAACTTGTAACACCTCAATATCACATTTTCATATAACCATGTATTTCATATTTCAAAAATACAAATTTACACGTTCAGAACCAAATATACAAAAACTATATTACAAAATAGCTAACAACTTTTTCCACAAAATCTATATACAACATATGAATACATATCAAGTATTTAGATACAAAAGAAAATTATGCTAGCTTAAAAATCCATGCAAGCATAATATAACGCTTCACAATTTCCCCTTCCCCTTGTCCTTTTGTTGTGCCGGCCGGACCCATAATGCATATTTTTAAAACATAAAATGAGGATTAGACCTTGAGCTCTAGTGAGAAATCCCTTTGATACAATTACAGGGTGAATAATCATCAAATCATATTTATGAATCACATTTGTAATGATAACAAATGTATATATTATTTTGATATAATAAACCTCATTTATTGCATTCAATTACCCAAATAAGTTGATAAACACGTTATGGATAAAACTTATCGCATCATATAAAGTTTATACAAATTCCTCGCATCACATGGATGAGACAAACCTATGTCTTCGCAACATACTGGTGTGAGAAATATAAACTTATCGTATCATACTGTGCGATAAACCTAACTCATTGTATTGTATAGGTGCGATAAAATCAACTTGTCGCATCACAAGGGTGCGACAAAATTCTCTTCTCGCATCACGTGGATGCGATAACACACTTCATCGCATCAATAGGATGCGAGAACTTAAAATTGTCGCATCACAGATGCGACAACCCTAAGTTATCGCATCATAAGGATGCGATAATTATGAACACTTGATCAAAAACCCATATATTTATAACTCAATGATTATGCCATCCTTATCCTGGTATACATCTCTCCTTGATATGCCACCCTTATCACAGTATACAACTCTCCTTGATATGTCACCCTTATCACAGTATACAACTCTCCTTGATATGTCACCCTTATAACACAAAATACATCTTTCCTTGATATGCTACCCTTATTTCGACACATGATATAATCATAACAAGAATCCACAATTTATGCCAATTATGGCATCAAAACCGATTTATAACAAAATCTCATATAAAGAACCATACGTTTCTATACTCAGTTTCCAAATAAGGAAAATTTACAAAATTAATCTCTCACGTAGATGAAGAAGATATGAGGATGAATTAACACAACAACAATTGGATTTGTTTTAATTATGTTATGGAATATTGTAATTGACTAAATTTTCAAAATGATTTTGGTTATATGACGTATTTATCAGCTAGTTTTGTTAAACATGATATATTTATCAAGTAGTTTATCAGTTATCAACTAATAATTAGCTTATCAATCATCAACTAACTTACCAACTTGCCAAACATAGCCTTAATATAGTGATTAATATATATTTCTTTCACATTATGTTTGTTTCATATATACTCAATTCACAATATGAACTTTTTTGTTGTATAGATGAAACAAAAATCACATGTAAAAAAGTTTCACATTGTAAATCAAGTACATATAAAATAAACAAATCATAAAACAAATATATGTTAATCAATATATTAAATATTATACTTAGATGTAAAAAATCATACGAAACAAAAACTTAAGGTAGAAATTTTCATGAATCACACAAATTTTAAAGTTTTTAAATAATTAATTCTTTTTCATAAATGTTGTATTATCAAAATTTCAATTACAATCGAAGTTTAAAAGTTTTATAAAATCCTGAAAACAAAACCCCAAGTTCTAATTGTTGTCTTTGTTTGGATCATGGGAATTTGGTGGAATTGAAAGGAATTGGAATGTCCAATTCTTTGACCAAATTCCAAATATGATGTTTGGTTCACAAATTATAAGTGAAGGAATCCTTTCGATTCCTACAAATTCATTCTGTCACCGATTTCACGATTCCACTTAATGTACCAAGGATTTTAAATTCCTTTCCTACGAATTCCTTAGCCCTCATCCAAATTTCAGATATTAGTAATATAAGTGAACAATTTCAAATTTTATCTGATGTTAATAATATAATTTGGTTTAATGGTAATTTTAATTTAAAAAATTGTCAAAAAAAAAAAAATCAAAAAAGGTCATTTGTTGATATTTAATTCCGATTCCATAGTTGAATTCCATGAACCAAACAAAAAAAATTCCAATTCCATTAGGAATTTTATTCCAATTTCATGCAACCAAACGCAATCACAAGGCATAGTCAAATTCCATCAGATTCCATTCCATTCCCTTAAAGTCAAATTCATTTGATGAATTCCAATTCCATCGAATTCAATTCTACGAATCAAACGCCCCCTAAGTTTTCATATTTTTCATTAATACATTAATATTTTTGCCTATTATTCAATATATGATTTACTTTTTAAATTTAATTGATATTCCATTTTTTAAATAACCATTATATATATATTTTATCTATTATAAAAAATTTCTTTCTTTTTAAGTATTAAATTAATATTTAATTTTAAAAGTTAACCATTTGATTCTTTTTTTGGTTAAAGGAAGTATAAAGTATAATCCAAGCAAATTGAGATTTATGGCATTAATTTTAGTTACTATTTTTCCAAAAATGTCGAAATTAAAATTATTCCTAGAGACGTTTTCATCAAAATATTAATTATTTAATTGTAAAATAATAATTTCTAACATACATTTTCCATTTTATGCTGCTAGAATGAGTTGGCACATTTAAGTAAAGGTGAAACGTATTTAATAATAAAATTAAAAATACCATAATTAAAGATGTAATATATTTATATATAAAATATATAATTTTTATATTTGGTAATTTCTGTATTTGGAGAAGTCATTCATTTTTATAAAAAAAACCCTAATTTAAAATAACAGCGCTATCTTTTGATCAGTTATTCAGTAAAAAAAACCCTTCATATCTCAAGTGGAGATTTAGTATGATGTTGAAAGTTATTGATATAGTAAACATTTAATAAAAAGAACATCCCAACTTGCCAGAAAAGAAATTACATATTTATATTATTAAATATTTTAATAATAATTAATTCTTAATTTTCAAAAAAAAGAAATTGTTAAAATTAAATCTAAATATTTTTTTTACAGATTTTGACTTTTGATTTTACATGTGATACTATTGTGATAATATTTTGAACATGTGTTGACAATAGATATGATCTGAGTTTTAGACCACACACAACCATAATGTGATACACGACTGTGATACAATTTTGTTGAGATCATTAAGGAAACCGAATTCATGATAATTAAGGAAACCGAATTCGATAACTATTAAATAAGAAAATATTTAAATTATAATTAATCATTTTACTAAAAAGCTCTTTATCTATTAATTAAGGTAATACAATTAATATCATAAAATAATTGGCTCATATTAGACCTTACTGTTATCACAAACTAATTAGTTTTTATTTGATTAGACTACTATCTCATATATATATATATATATATATATATATGTTTAGTTTTTATGAAAAACAACCGTTGACTGTATCCTATAAAATTGGAACTTCTCCTCACTTCTCATCGACTTTCGATTTTTGTGGTTCTCTCTTCCTTTTGTACCGCAAACAATCATCTTTCTTAAAGATCTTATACCCAAATCTATTCTTTTTTTGTTTTGGTTTCTTCTTTTCGATAGATTTTTCAATTAATTCTTGATTGGAATGAATTGAAAACGAGAGAGACATGGACGGATGCTCCGTGTTATCTCCGATCAAACAAACGGAGCACAAAAGGGTTATAACAATGGTGGTTCCGGCGATGACAAAGAAGTTGTCCGGCCAACAAAAGTCACCGTGTCCAAGACTTGTAAGGATATCAATGACTGATCCCTATGCAACCGATTCTTCCGGTGATGAAGATGACGAGCATTTCAGACGGTGGCGTGTGAAGAAGTATGTCAATGAGATTAACATACAAACGTCGTGCAAAACTACAATGACGCCTGTCAACGGCAAGAAGACGACGACCGGAAATAGGGAATCCGCTCTAGAAGCGAAACAGAAGCCTATGAAGACGAAGAGAACTCCGGCGGGTAACGTTAGGAAATTCCGAGGAGTCCGGCAAAGGCCTTGGGGTAAGTGGGCAGCGGAGATTAGGGATCCGGCGAGACGTGTCCGATTGTGGTTGGGGACGTATGATACGGCGGAGGAGGCTGCCAGGGTGTATGATAACGCCGCCATTAGACTCCGTGGTCCTGGTGCTTTGACAAACTTCGTCATGCCGCCGGTTTTGGAAAACCCACCGCCGGTGAATGTTACATCGACGTCCGACCATGATTCCAGCGAAGAGTCGCACAACCTTCTATCTCCTACTTCCGTTCTCCGGTTTGATGGTAACAGCAACAGTCAGTCAAGAGAAACACTTGAACCGGTCAAAGAAGCTGAAGAGTGCCAGTCAACGAATGGGTCTTGTTTGATTCAAGAACTTGACCCGAATGTTCATTTGGTAGTGGATAAAAACGGGCCGGGTCCATTTGGGGATGCACCACCTTTTGATTTCCAATCATTCGACCCGATACAATTTGGTGATGAAGTTCCATTTTATAACATGCATGATGATTTCGGGTCACTAGACCCGAACCAATTTGATAATTTTGATACAATACCATTTGTTGACGACTTGATTCCTGATATTGGATTTGAATCCCCCTCAACTTTAGAAATAGAGAACTACTTTCAAGATATTTCAGATAGTATTTTAGATTCATGGTTTTTCTGAAATGGGTCGAACTTGTTTTAGTTGGTTGTTGAAGCCATGTTTGTCCTCCGAGAGATTTTGTCCTAATTAAGATTATGAGAAATATAGTCTCCTAAAAAAGTATGGAGATTTGACTTTTGAGAAATCTAATTGGTTAGTATTGTCTTAATGCATACTTTTGATTAAGATTTATCGGTTTGGATGATTATTTTTAGTTTGCTTTTCGATCAATTATATACGATGTTTTTTTCGTTACAAAAATAGGTGCTATACATAAAATTCTATACAGTAATTATTGAAACATAATGTTTCATTGATAAAAACAACTCATTTTCTGTCTGAACCATACAATATGTGCTTATAAAAGTTAAGCAATAATTTTTTAATACGAACAATATATCACGTTTATTTGAGGCGATGTCGGCTCACAACTCTTTTGAGTAAATCTGGAAATTCATCCATGCAAAAGAGATGCGAATGATATATAACATGTGAATAATGTATTGTTAATGTTTACGTTTGCCTGTTTCTGTTTATTTTGTTTCTATTCGAGGCATATAATTATATATAGGTACAATACATATAAATACATACACATGCATAGAGGGTGTCTGGATATTCTTTCTTTTATTGTGATTCAAGATCGCAAGAATTAAATTACTGTGTTTGTGTAAGCTGATAATGATATATGTAATGATTTAGGGACAATCGATAATTAGGTAAGATTAAGGTAAAAATTATCTAACCATGTCTTAGGTTTAAACAACTGATTATCTATCTTTTATTCTGATTTCTTCAACACTTAAAAAGAACATACATTCAGAGACCACGGTATTCACATGTTATTATTATTTTTATTTGCCTTATACACAATCAGTTTTATGGAAATGAGTCTTTTTTCCTGTCGCATGAAATCACATACATGCATTCTATAACGTAAATTCCAAAAGCAACATGATTGTAATGAAAACGATTATTATAAAACCATATACGCTCGCATGCATAATACATGACGATAAATCATACACGTTACCTGTATATGATAAATAAACGACCTTTACAAGAAAAAAATGAAACACACTCATATATTAGAGCTATCAAAAGCATATGTTATGTCAAAACCTTGCAATCCATGCATGCCCAAGACAACGAATGTCAAGGTCTGGAATGACGTCACACAAAACTGTATAAACCTTGTTTTTAATTTTTCCCCGTAAACTGGCAGAAGAAAATCTTTCATTCATAGCAATATTTTACCTGAAACCGTGTAATTAAATATTTACTCCGTTCATCCCCTCTTGAAAACTATGAAAGTATTTGTAGGAATATTAATTCATTGGTCAAAAAAAGCAAGAAAAATGGCTAGTAATCGAAGATAAATTTACTGGAATACGTAGATGTACTAGATGCAATAGTCGATCAAAGTGATATCAAAACAGATTTAGAGATCAACAAATACGGTATAAATTAGCAATCGACGAATTGAAGTATATAATTAATCGATGAATCAAGAAAAATGCAATTGATGTGGAGAACACATGAATGGTGGGTTTTGTGAAATCAATTTTAGGGTTTTCGATGTGTCTGTGTTCGGAGGTAGGGTTAATAGAAAGAATGACAAATTCATTAGTTCAAGTGAAAATCAACATTCTGCAACAATTCAATTTTCACAAGAAAAGTGAAGCAAACAATATTTGGAATTTGGTCAAATGTCGTAACTGGTAATTCCTTTTCATCAAACACTGCCCAAGGGATATATATGAAAATCCTGCTGTGATTGGAAGTGGTTTGATGTCATCTATGTCGATTCCTCTAGAAACTCGAAAGAGAAACCAACAAAAACACAAAATGTTAAAAAGCAAATGGTTTATACGCACCTCAAAATTTATGAAAATTCCATTTTTAGCAAAACGGTATTCATAGATAAAATGTTATAGCTTGTTTGTAATAGAAAACATCAACCACAAACCATGCACCCGAGAGTAACTAATCCAATATGACCAACAGGTTACAAGATTAAAGGTCTTACGTTCATAATGTAACAATAAAAAGTCTTTTATAAATGTGCGTATATTAAATTCCTTGATAATGAACACAAGACTCTGTCAAAGTGTTTGTTGGTGTTGTTTTACAACTAACAATTCCGTTGTTTTAATAATTGACAAACGAAAATCATACATGATTAGTTTAGTAACAATTTCATTGCTGGTATCTTTAAATATTTAAATATAACATCATCTCATATCTGATCATCAAACGATACATGTTCATAAATTAAATCATTTAGTTGAAATCTTAAAAACGACATTATCAATTCATCATTGCACTTAAAATAAGATTTAGTAAAAAAAAAAGAGGAAAAAATCTTGAGTGTTTTTAAATTAAAAAACAATTGCATTTAATGCATATTTTTTTGTATTAGATGTACAAGGGTAACTAGGTAAACCCTCACAACAATTTATCTATAATTCTAATCAAAATAATTGAAAAAAAAAAGTCAAAATTTCTAAAAATGAATTATATTTACTTTCAATAAACTTTTTATTTTTTATTTTTAAACTTAATATTAATTATATTATTAAATTATTATATATATATATATATATATATATAGAGAGAGAGAGAGAGAGAGAGAGAGAGGGATGGATCAAATGAAAATCATCCTCATTTGTGAAAACCTTATAAACCAATCTCATCCATCTATTTTCTTGATCAATGGTCAAGATTAGATTAGTTTATATTAAGAAATAAAAAATAAAAAAAAGTTTATTTTTTAATTGAAAAAAGGACAAAAATGTAAAACGTATGATTCTATAATTGAGGCAACAAGATCATGTATATCCCAATATTAATGAAACAAAATCATTGTTTTAAAAACTATATATATCATCTTATACTTCCAAAGATTCTGACAAAAAATGTTAGATTAATCTTGAAAATTATAGGTTTGCTAAAAATATCTTTATTTTATGTTTAAATATTATAGACAAAATAATATCCATCATAAAAATAGATCAAAGTAAAGACCGATGAAATTAGGTATATCATAATAAACTTTGAAACATAAAACACATTGTAATCAAGTTAACATAATGAAACCTTTTGAATAATAAAACAAATTTTTTTTACCATTACATTTCATGAATGAAATGGTTTCACCGTTTCATCATTACACAAATCAACCTATTGCTAGAGGAAACATCTGTCATTTTCATGTTTTCAATACATAGATCCGTTTCAATCTTATTATGAAATGGTTTCACTGTTTGCTTCCATACACACCATTTTCTCAATATTAACATATCAACCATTACAATAATCATTATATAAACATGTTTCATAACTATAACACTTTACATATTATATGAACCATTATATGAAACAACAGCTATTGTCATGCATTTTTATGTTTTCACTGTTTGCTTCCATTAATAATTTTTATAGTCAAACTATTTAATATTGTTTACGTTTCAAAATTTATAGGAAACAAGATTATCCAAAAGAAAAATTATATTATGCAACAATTTCATCCATAAAATTTTCGAAATCTGAACAAGTTTCATTAAATTAGTACCCTTTTTTCCGTTAAATTAGTGCACTTTTTTCAAATAGAAAATATTTTGTATCCTAATGAATTATGCAACAATTTTATCCATAAAAGTTTTGATATCTTATTTTAAAATTCATTTTTTTATTCAGTATAATCGTGAAAATAAATAAAACATATTTATTGTGAAAAAACTAAATTAAGAAAAAAATTTAACTCCTACCATATTAAACGTTTCCTTTCTTATGTTTCTTAAAATTAACAAAATTTATTACCTTCCAATATTAATCAAAAAACAATGGAAATGACTATTAAACCCTTACTGATTAAAATTAATTAAAAAAAGGAATTTTCCTATTGGTCGAAATTGGTTTGCATGGTTTTTAAGAATTGAGCGGTTTTCAACGTAACCCGCCTCTCTCTCTCTCTCTCTCTCTCTATATATATATATATATATATATATATGAAGGATCAAACGAGAACACTAACTATGTAAGAAGACAAGAAAAAAGTGGTCCAAACGATAACACTAACTACCTCACCAACCAGATTGATGATCTTAAATGACCCAATATACCGTGGACTTAGTTTACCCATTTTTCCAAAATGAACAATTCTTTTCCATGGTGAAACTTTCAATATTACTCTATCGTCCACTTCAAACTCAATTAGTTTATAGCGTTTGTCGGCATAACTTTTCTGTCGATCCTAAATCGTCTTTATTCGTTCACGAATCCGATCTATCTTTTCTACCATTAATGGAACGATTATTGGACCGGCTAATTTCTTTTCTCCCACTTCGTTCCATCACAAACGACATTCGACATTTTCTGCCATATAAGACTTCATAAGGCGTTGTCTTTATAATGGAATGGTAACTTTATTGTAAGCGAATTCAATTAAAGGTAAGTGATTTTCCCAAGAACCTCCAAAATCGATAATACAAGCACGTAACATATCTTCCAGAGTTTGAATGTTCTTTCACTATGTCCGTTAGTTTGTGGATGATAAGCCATACTTAACCTTAATTGAGATTCCATCTCTTTCTTAAAAGCTCCCCCAAAATCTTGAAGTAAATCGACTATTTCTATATGATATAATCAACAATGGAACACCATGTCGAATTACGATTTCATTGATATATATCTTCGCAAATCTTTCCAGTGAATACTTCTCTTTGATTGGTAGGAAATGTGTGGATTTTGTTAAACGATCTACAATAACCCAAATAGCATCATCCTTCTGGTGTTCTCGGTAGTTTTGTTATGAAATCCATCATGCTATGATCCTATTTCCACATTGGAATTTCTAACGATTGCAAACTTCTGTAAGGTCGCTGATGTTCTACTTTCACTTGTAGACATGTCAGTCAACGTTTCACATATCGAGCAATATCTTTCTTTAAACCTGACCACCAATAGAATGGTTTTTTTATCTCTATATATTTTATTAGTACCAGGTTGAATTGAATACC